GTATATATGTGTATATGTATATATAAAAAATGTATTATATGTATACGCATGTGTATATGTAAATATATGCTATTTATATGTATATGCATACGTATATATGTGTAATTTATATTTATTTTTAATTATATTAATTAGGGTAGATATATGTACCGTGTATATCTGATTTGGCTGAATTAGTTGCTTTGCTTCATAGATATGTGTTTGTGTTCCAGCCGATGTACTCTGAACACACCTTACATATTATTGCACTCTCATACACCCACATGAACGCTACACAACGCTACAACCACATCGTGCATGTATCGGTTCACATCTATGTATATGTGACCGTACTATTGACATTTCAGGTGTAGAGTTTATGTTTATTTTAGTGTCTGTCCTGGTGTGCGATAAGTGAATGTTATTGCATCTCTCACATTGGTGTGTACTACATTTGGTACGGACTCTATTCCACACTCTGGCAGAATTGTTAACCGGGTTGCGATTGACCTGTCAGTCATAATCCAAGGAAATGTCCGATGTACTCGACCTCGGTTCTAAAAAGCTCTGAAAGTATTCTTATGCAAGTTTCATTACAAACACAAACGAGACCTCCGTTAGTTGAGTTAGAATTCATTATAGTATTCTCCATTGTTTTAATTGGCACGTCAATAGATGAGTGATTGTCTACGCGGGATAGGATATTGTTTTTAACCCCACTCTCGCAGCCAACATTTTAAGCGTGTTTGACCCGCCCGCTATCGCATTTTATTGTGTTCTATTTTAAAAATAAATAGCTTATTAGTTGGCCTATTAATACGCACTAATTTGTGCATCCCATTTTGAATTCTCGCAGCCATCGTTCCTGGCGCGATTGACCCGCCAGCCGTTCTACAAAGAAACATTCGATACGCTCATACTTAAACTGAGTACCATGTACGAGAAGCTCAAGCCAGCGGACCGAGAAGGGGTGTGTAGCATTGTAGCCTATTTTGTGTAGTTTATGTCTATGTGTTCTATTCCGAGCAATATTCGTTGTACTTGTACACTCAAAGCAAGTAATAGGCATGAGAAGTGGTGTGTAGCATTGTAGCCTATTTTGTGTAGTTTATGTTTATGTATTCTACACCGAGCAATATTCATTGTACGGATACACTCAAAGTAAGTAATATGCATGAGAAGTGGCGTGTAGCATTGTAGCCTATTTAGTCTAGTATATTCTATATATTCTATATCGGGCCACATGCATTGTTCTCCTATGAATGAGAGGCACAAGCCAGCTGACTGTCCAGAAAGAGTTAGAGAGAGACTGCGTATACGGAGTGGCTGAGGTATCTCAGCGGCTGCCACATTGTCCATAGTTGTAGTTGGAAAGTGGATTGTGTTTAATGGTCTGCCGTGAGGTGTATGCACTGTTAGGCGCATTCTTCTTCTCAAAGACTGTGTGTGCTCTTAATTGAGTGAGTGTGCTCTTAAAAGATTACGTGTGCTCTTGATTGAGTGTGTGTGCTCTTGATTGAGCGTGGGCAGGGGTTGGGACTTTGCGCCCAGTTCAATCATATTCTACTTCATTTAACGTCTATAACCAATATATCCGTCCTATCAGGATAGATCATTCAAAGGTGTGTGGTACATCTAAAACGTACTAACTTCGCACTCACTGCGATGATAATTAATCCCTGTGTCATATAGGTGGTTGGCAATGTCAACCACAGCGCGTTCGTTCGCAAGACCACCAAGTACTGGGTGCACGCGGACAACATTACGGACGTCAAGTGCATTATACTGCAGCACTTGCCCGTGCTTGTCTTCAAGACCGACCCCCGCTTCGAGAAGGGTAGGTTTAGTGTACACGTATATAGGTCTACATGTAAGGGTGGGTTTAATGTACACACATACGGGTCTACATGTAGCAGTTGATATCGTTGATATCCATGCCCTGTTCTGTAACGTCATTTCGGTAACTATAATAGTTGTATATTACCACAATATTCAGGCCTACATAACCGTGCACACATTTATACGGACGTTATATATACCATAAATGCAACACTTTCCCGTGCTCGTCTTTAAGACCCTCCCGTTTCGAGAAAGGGGTGTTGGGCGTACCCGAGCATGACGTGTTTGGTGTATTCGGGCGTGTGTACTTGTTCAGCCGATACATACGCTTTGTTGTGTACAGTATCACAGGAGAAACGTATATTTACACCTGCACATGGGTTTGCAATCTCGCTCTCACCTGACACGACTGTCACATCCATCTACTATGACAACA